TTTATAGGATAAAAAATCTCATTGGAAAACAAAAAAAATTATAAAAAAAAGAAGAAAAATTAATTTATTACTCTAATCGCGACCGTAAAACTTTGACACCTAAAATCCAATTAATTGTTTTTATCTTTATAATTTTATCCTAACGAAATCTTAAATAAAATTAAAATTAAACTCGGGTACGACGAAGAAAATATGATGACGAAATTGCAATTTCTACGAATCTGCCAATTAAGGTAGTTCGTCGTTTTCCTATTGGCCCGAAAAACGTTTTCCTCTCTTATCTTCCTCTCAATTACCAGGTATACCAAGTTAGAAAAGGAAAGAGTATTAACCATCTCGCCTACGCATTTCACTTTTCTCCTCATCTATAGCAACTACGTTGATCATTTCCACCATTTCCGTATTTCTTATATACGTTTCGTTTCCAATTTTCAATCAGAAATATTTTACCTTGACTCTCGTGTGTGTTATCTTCGTTTAAAATAAAAATCTATATTAAATTCAATCATCTCGAATCGTAGATAATTTCTTACATCCGACATCTTTGTACAATATTTATTTAACTAATAATACGTATAAGATTTAATTAGAGATTATTATTTTGGAAAAATAAACTAAAAACAAAAAAATATATATTTTATATATGCTATATAATTATTCACTATCTTGCATAATTTCGATTAAATTTTATTATATTGAACATTTTTTTTCAAATCATTATTTTAATACGATATCAATGTGTTAGTTTGTATAATATAATGTTAGATCAATAATCATTAATTAAAAGATCGTTGTTTTTTTTTTTGTATTTACTAAGATTCAGGATGATTCGTGAGAAAATAGATTACATTGTTGTTATAGTTGATTTTATTGAAAGATGATGACAAAGTGGTTATATATGTTTGATGGTAAATACTTCCTTAGTCACGGAAATGAGATTAACGTCAAATCGATATTCCTCTTTCAAGATGCGGAAGCATCTCTTCTGGTGTGAAATGAAACCTTGTTAATACATCCTCTTAATGCGCTTATGTTTACCCATCTTGTTTTCTTGTCTTTATACGGAAATAATCGTATACGTCTTGCGAAAATATACTATATACAACAAAAGTGATTGGCTTTTCAAAAAAAGCTAAGTTATATTTAATTATATCGATTATTACGAGCTTTAGGCAAACTTTTTTAACAAATTATTCTTTCATTAAAAGTATTTTAATCGTAAAACGCGTTAGCTTCTATCTTTTGTTTTTTTCTTATTTTTATATATTCGTTCTTCGTTATTATTATTATTATTATACGTTTTTTAATAGGACGTCTTTGACCACTACGTTAATAAAATATGAATTCGTTGCAATGTTTAAAAATTAAAGAAAAATAAATAGAGAAAAAAATTGTTCCTAGCTATAAATTGATATAATTAACAAAATAAAAGCGAAGGCGAAAGGTTTGAAATATTATGTCCGAACGTCATTTAAAATGCAAAATAAATAAATGAAAAATAAATTAGTATTATTTTTGTCGACAATAATAAAATCAGATCCACATACGCACACTCGCGTTGTTTAATTAATTATTATTTATGTTGAAATATTTTTCACTTGAAAATTAATTTCAAGCCTTTTATCGCAAAAATTTACGAAGATGTTTTCATGGATTTAATTAAAAGAAGATCCTCCCCCTTATTCGTATGGTTACTAGTAACCGCAAGTTTTAAAATGAACTCGACTAGGTATTTAATTGAAAATTCCTCGTTTCGAATTAAATAATAGCAAACGAATAAATTACAGCTAATACAGTAACATTTTTTCTTTTTTTTTTTTTTTCAGAGAGAGAAACAAGGCAAGAAAAAGAAAAAAAAAGTATCAAAATTAACATAGATTATACAAGTAATATTATCAAATACGGTATTAAAGTAATAAAATAATGAGAATGACAAATTCGACGAACATTTTAATTTAATAATAGTTTTTTAAATGAGTATTAATTAAATATATGTCAAGTTTAAGGTATTCAATATATTACCGTATCAAATCCGATCATTTCTCATCGTGAATAGAAACAATATATAATATTTGCATAATACGTGACAATCGTTTAAAAAATAGACAATTTATTTGGTAATATTAATTAGAACATTTTTAACATTTTTTTAATCTAGAAAATTCTATATATTCTGTTCTAATATTTTCTAATCGACACAGTAATAAATTTCATTAAAAAGAAATAAGAAATAAATAAATATACTCTACGAATTATTAATTATTATCTAAACGCGTAAAAGTGTCAAAACAAATTAACGGACAAACGTAGTTTGCTAGCAATGTCATTTTCGTTTCATTTTACATTAGTTTCACATTAACAATATTCTCATATAATATAATTATTCGTTGGTCATTTCGTATTATCGAAAAATTAACAAATCATAATATAACAAATTTCAACAATCGTTATTTTCCATCTATAACATTCATCGAATTTGATTATCGTAATAATAAAGGATCATTGTTCATTGTATTAAACTTTAACAAATGTTTATATTTAACAAATTTACATATATTATACAAAAGTTAATTCCTTTTTGGTTTCTAGTTGCGTTAATATAATATACACAGTAAACGTGTAACATAATCACAAAGTAAAGGAAATAGCGCAAGTGACGATGAGAATTACGTACGAAGAAAATTTCATTTTGAATAGTAAAACATTTTGAAATGCGTCGTTTCAAGAATAGCTTGCTAATGACTCGAGGACATTAGAAACACGAGTCGAATTTACGCGTACCAAATGTTTCGCGAAAACTTACTTAAACCAATAAACGAACGAACGAACGAACGTTGATGACACATTTCATAATTTATATTTAAAGGCAAATACGCAAATAATAAAAAAAAAAAAACAAACGGGTTGGTTTGAAGATAATCATTCGAAAATATTGTTTCACAGTTTCAGAACAAGCTTCGTATAATAATCGGCAAGTTTAATAATCCTTCTTCTACTTTCTTTTTTCCACAATTTACTTTTTTTCCTCCCCTTTTTTCCCCTCTTTTCTTTTTATTACTTTTTTTACAAAACACTCACTCGTTTTATCTTTTTTTTGGATATAAATACCTCAGACTATACTATACGAAAAAGCAGCAATAATAGCAGTCAAGAGCGATTATTAAGCCAGTACTTATGAACCTGTTCCTTTATGAAAGTCGGCGGTACCTTTTGTAACTTTATAACTTTCTTAACAAGGTATGTATTTTAAAATGGAAATATTGTCATAAAAGATGGTACAAAGAATAAACGTAGGATGCGAAAGGGGTATAACAAATTAGATCGTAATAAATATTAAAAAGCATCAATTTTCATCATTATCTCTTTTTCTTTTTTATTATTTTTTCTTTTAATCCATTATATTATATTTAAGTTTCTTCTCTTTGATCCGATAAAAGATGATATATTTTTTTAAAAATTGCGGTATTAAACTAATATCATTATGATCAATAATTAATTTTGTAAAAACGAAAAAAACATTAAATTAAGAGTGTAACGTGATAATAATTAATTTTCTATTTGATAAACGCGTAATGAACAGAAAGAAAAAAAAAGTCATAATAGAAACGTATCACGTAAAAAGGGTTTGATAAAATATTAATAATAAATGTAAACACAAGGGATGAGGATAGTTTCATTGAAATTATTTGACGAAGTAACTTATCTTCGTACAGCTATTAACAAATATATGTTTTTACTCGAGCATAGTCATAAAGTGTTCACCTGTTGCTGTCGTATTTCTCTAATAAGAACGTTCGTAGTCAGAATACATGACACGGTTGAATTATGTTAGAATCGTAACAGAAATTTGAGTAGTTAGATATAACTTGTTTAATTAGATTCGTAACTTTCAACTAAGAATTACGCGAGATTAAATAATTGTTTTTTTCTTATTTTCTCATTACGATTAAATTTCATAATATTTATTGCAAACATTTAACGCGACGTTTTATTTAAATATTGTTTTTCAATTTGTTGTAAATATATATTAAAAATACTCATATTTATTGATTGTCCTATAGAAAATTTTACGCGCAAGAATATTTTTCTTTTATTATTATTTTATTTGCGACGTGTGATGTTTCATACGTAATTATATTTTATTTGTACGAGAAAATTTGTAGCGACGGTCACAAAATTTTTTCACAAGTGGACGTTTCTTCGAAATTTCAAAATAAAGTTTTGTTGAAAAAGAAAATACATTATAGACATTTTCGTTTAAATATTATGCCGATAATTGGTAACGGTGGATTAATGATAAGTCAAAAAGTTAGAACCAAAAAAAAACAATACATATTATAATTTATCATTCGATTCGAATGATTTGTATTATAAAATAAATCATAAGATAAATTGTATGATATTTTTTGTTTTTAGGTACATACGAATTACATCAACCTAAATACGTTGTTCTTTCAAGATCATTCAAATTTATTTATTGAAATTTAAAACCTTACTTTCTTTAAACATTTTCACAATTTAATTTGTCAAAATACTATAGTTAAAATAATTAAAAATAAAATAATATTAAATTCTATATATGCAATATATAGGAGGTGCAGAAAGAAATGAAACTGTAGTATATAGTAAAAAGTAATTATATTATCATAAAAAAAAAGAACGATAATATTAAAAAATTAGCATAAATTTTTCCCGAGTGTTTAACTATTGATCGATTTTAATGTATTTTTCTATAAAACTTCTTTTTTATGTTGGGTGAGGTGGAGGGTGGTAATTTACAATTTGATTGACTTAAACAAAACATTGAAAACTCATGTAACAGAAGGATTACTGTTAAATCAACAAAACTCTCTTTCGTCTGTCGTTTGAAAAGATGAAAAAAAAAGCAAAAGAAACAGAAGAAGCCGCGGACAAAAGAAAAGAAAGAAGAAAAGAAAAAAAGAAAAAAAGAAAGCAAGAAGAACAGATAAACCGAGAGGTAGCTTATTGAATCTGCTCACCTGTTGCTGGAAGAAAACTTGACGCTGGGAATTGGGCAGGTGCACGTTTAGCTGTTAGTACCACCACCGACAAAATAAAAAAAGATAAAGATAGATAGATAGATAGATAAATAGATATAGATAGAAAAATGGAAGATTCAAATTCTTTAGTTCCGCACTTGTCCAAGATTTGTACATATATAAATATACATAATATAAACTTATTATTTAAATTAAAAATTAACAAATAAAAAACAAAAATTCGAAGATTGCAATGGGGGAGTGGGGGGAAGGGGGTAGAAAAATTAGACGGAGATTTTTCTGGTAAAAAACAAAATAGAAAAAAAATAGAAAAATAAAATTACGATGAAACTTATCACGACACGATTCGATGCAATGCGAGAAGATAGCGGGGTGGGGTGGGGGGTGGGAGGGCGATTCGTTGGATTTTTTCTAATTCGTTCTTTTTTTCCTTTCGATTTTTTTCTTTTCTTTTGTCGAACCTTTGTGATGTTGTTCGTTCGTACCTCCAAAAAAAATGAGATCCTCTCGAAGTTAAATAGGAGCACACAACACGAGCGTACTGTCTCTACGCGGGAATGAAATGACGACGTCGGCGTCGCGACGCCACCCTTTTATAAGTGTATTCGTGCCCACACGCCACCCGTTTGTACGCGTGTGTATGCGCGCGCGCGCTTTTCCTATCTCATTCTATCTCTCTCTATCTATCTTTTTCTCTCTCTCTCTCTTTCTTTCTTTCTTACCATCATTACACTCCAACCATCCGTCTCTTTCGAAATTTTACTTTCGCCCACCCTCAGCCTCTCCCCCTTTTACCATTTCCCTTTTCCTTTTCCTTTCCCTGTCATCCTTCTTCCTTTCATCAATTTTATTCACTTTTTTATACTTTTGTTGTATTTTCTTCTCTCCTTTTGTTTTTTATCCTTTCCACAATTCTACTGTTTTTTTCCTTATAATTTTGTTTTCCAAATTTACTCTTTTTCATATTCTCCTTTTGTTTTCTTTCGTTGGCCCTTTTTTTATTTTTGATGAATCTTATTATCGTTTTCTTTTTTTTTCCCCATCGTTCAAATTTGTCTTCCCTAACGCGACCAATCTTTCTCTTACATTTAATGAAATTTTACTGCAAATCTGTCTCTCTATATTTGTAAATATTATTTTCCTTTCTCTCTCTCTTTTACTCTCTTTTTTTTTTTACGTTTTCTCGATCATTTAATATATTTCCTTAATTATTTTGTTGGTAACTTATTTTTAATTGATTTTCTCAGCGACATAAGTAAATGGAATTTTCGTATCTTTCTGTCGTACATTGGCTGTTGTTTCTTTTGTTTCATCTTTCGTTTACTCACCTTAACCCCTTCTTAGCCCCTTTCTCCCGAAACTACCACACAAGCAATCTGTTTCACGTTTACGAAACTACCGGTGATTTTTCCTCATACTCGTTTTTTTTACCTTCTTTTCTTTTTTTATTAAATTATAATTATGAGTAAAGGAGACTGCTTTTCCGTAACTCATAGTTTTCTTACGTTTAAATACGAAAAAGGGTCTGATTAATTTTTCTTTTTTTGGAGGGGAATAAAAAAATGTTCGTTTCATTTCCTTTGGTTCTTAATTATACGCAGTAAGAGATGCAATCAAAAAAATATAAATGTATAAATATTTTTGTAATTTTTACAACTAGTAAAAATTGCATCGAAGATATGTAAAAATGTATTTAACTTTTACCACGATGAAAATTGCATTTTCTTATTTTCGACAAATTTTTTATTCTAATTTTTCTTTCGCACGACTAAGAGTAATGAACGTAAATTTAATAGAAATATTTTCTCTCTCGGAAAATTTTTTAAATAATCTATATTTCAGTTAGGCGATCTTACAAACTTATGAATCGTCAATATTTTAAATAATTTATAACAAATATAATTTTACATTACGAATATATATTATTGAATTCTAAATAATCATAGAATCATGTTTACGAGTTTTTAGTATTTTAATTAAAAATAAAAACGTAATCTGTCGATCAAAAAATTTTCGAATATCTTAAACTGAATTTGAATAATAAATTACCCTCTTTTATATAAAGCTTAATTCGAATTAAAAATTTAAAAGTAAATACGATTTTTTAATAACTAAATAGAATTATATCGATTTATGGATTTTAAATAAAATTAGTTAAATCGATTTACAACGGGTGAACAACAGCTTAAATTTACATATCACAAATAATGATAATTCGATATACATTATCCATTAAACGGATAACAAACGCATTATAAAATGCAGAAAAGATTAAAAGCCTCCTTATTGTAAAATATAAAAAATGATAAATAATAATGCGTAGGAGTGTTAAAATTTAAATGGATGCACCTCAACAAAATTTATAGCGATTATCATTTTACTCGTATATGGATAAATGATCGTTTTCGTTGATGGATGCTTGGGATTGGTCGGTCTGGTTAGAAGATTTTTCCGAAATTTCCATGAGATTTTTATAGTTTAAAAGTGCTCGTAAACGTAAGCTCGTGAACTTGTAGATATCCTTTATTATCCAAAGGTCCTTAGAAACTACGTCGTAAACTTACCTCGAACGATAAAAAAAAAGGAAAAAGTAAGGAAAAAAAAGGACAATCCTCTCGGATAGTCCTTGTTGGTTCTCTAGTGGTTTTCCTATTTTCTACGTATACCCGTTGCAACGTCGTCGTCGTCGTCGTACGTACGCTAATTTACATATATATAAGCAAGTACAAATTGGAAGTAGAAGTGCAATAGTTTCTAATAATAGATACTAGGTGTATTTCTGATGATTCTAGGGAATGTACGTATGCTAAAACTAGAATGTCTGTTAAATGTTAGCATCTATTTTCTAGAGGAATGCTAAGTGATTAATTTCAAAGTACAACTTGTTGTTTTTATAAATGAGTAAAGGTATCTAAATTATTTGTTACGTTTTCTTTATTTTTTTTTCTTACACGATCTCAGGTAAGAAATAGAGAAAAATAAAAAAGGTTTTTTCTTTCATAATTACGCGAAGATATTTAATTATTTGTGTGTTCGTTTGAAAAAAGGTGCGTTAAATTAATATTGAAACAATGTTACGGAAACAAATTTTTAATCGTAAAGAATCTCTTTCTTTTTAGTATACGAATGCAAACATTTAATTTTCTTTTCTAAATATACATCTATTAATTAAAATAATAATAATTAATTGAAACATGGTCGACCTATGTATTGACTAACGCCCATGTTTAATTAGAACTAGTAAAGTAAATCAACTGTAATAATTAATACATTATTATATTTTGTTACTTTTATTTTATTTTCGAACGATATGATTAAAATACTTTGATTCCCGTCCCCGTATATATATAATTTATTTCATCGAATACGATTTTACCTTTTTTTTTTGTAAAGTAAACGACGAGGACACGTGACAATTACAATATAATTAATATACTACGTACATATATATGTACGTGTAATATTAATTTTTACATATATAACAAATGAACTATACTATTTTATTCGTAATTCAACAAATTTTTCATTATCACATTTAATAACTTTGATAATCATCTTTGAAAAGATCAATACTATATGCAAATGCATATACGTAAATAAATACGTATATAATACATACGTTGGTAGTTTCTTGCATCATCTATAAACTCACCATTCTCTTGTTAGATTTCGATAAAAGAAAAGAAGTCAAGCGATTTAACAGTAAAATTTACCTTTGAACGAGGTACGCTGTTTGAACATGGTTCATTGGTTTTCTCTGATAACAGACAATACCATAGATATCAATTCTCTTTGTTCTCTCTCTTTTTCTAGATATTCATATATTATATATATATGTATCATTTATATCTTTTCTAAAAAGAGATATATATTTTACTTGCAAAACATATAGAAAAACCTTAAGTTAGGAATCACGAAGAAACATACTATTTATACAAGAAAAAGAGAGAGAGAGAGAGAGAGAGAGAGAAATAAATAAATAGATCTGTAAGATGAAAAAATAAAAAGAAAGATAGACTGGGGGAAAGAAAACGGAAACAATTTTTCTTTAGTACGATAGAGAAGAGAAATTTTTCAATTTTTTCTTTTGCTTTTTATTTTTATTTCATTTTTTTTTTTTTTGTTAATCAGTGTGGAACAAATACATCGTATACGTTTTCGCATACCAATTCTTATGTATTCTTATTTATTTTTCGTATGTAAGTATGTAAATTATTATCTGCGTAAGAGTACACCACCATTCCGATCTAAACTTTAGTATAAAGTTGGAAAGAGTTTTTTAACAGCCAGAGCACTTTCTCGTGAAAGTTTTCTTCGAAGAGCAACAGCGGTCATCCAATTCCGTTAAAAACACACCTTTGCCTTTTTCCTGAGTGATAAGAAAAAGACAGAGAAAAAGCGTGAAGGAGTGGGAGGTGGTTGGGGGTGGGTGGGGAAAAAAGAAGAAAATTCAGGTCGAGGTCTGGTACATTTATTTTATAGTATTTTTCAGTCAGTATCTTAATTGAACGCATACACACACTCACAACAGAACACGAATTTTTACTCGATAAATGTCTCATTTTTATTTTTCTTATTCTTTTTTTTCTAAAACAGATTGGATCGTGAGAAAAATGTCGCACAAAAAGTTTTTGAAATTTGATGGAATAGGTGTTAAATATTTTTATTTCTTAATTGTATACTCGTGTTCGTTAAAGTGGATTCTAAACAAATTGTAAGAACAAACGTAATTCGAGTATAGTAGAAAGGTAAAGTGAAAAAAGGGAAAAAGTTTCTATGATACTACACGAATTTAACATTAAACATTATTACATCGATTCCATTATTTCGTTTGTTAATTAGAACTTACATTGTTTTAATTACTTGGTTTAATACTTGGATATATATATATATAAACTGCAGAACAAAAATGAAATAAATCATTTCTTCCTTTTTACAATACAAACAGTTACATATACGTTCCCATGCGATTTCATATGTTCCTACCGATATCGTAATTTTGAACTTACGTTAGTTCCTTTAAACGTCGTAAAAATTATACGAGTTTTAAAAACACTTGGGGAATAAGTAAATCGAAAAAGTTTCTTACCAATTTGTTACACAACTACATTTCTAATTCAAGTTATTTTTAACGAGTACATACATATTTCATTTGAATCGTATATAGTTTTTATTCTTTTATTTTTTAAAATGAAACGTTTTTCTTACGTGTCTTTATCGTGTACAAAAATTATTGTATAATAACGAGAAAAAAAAAATACTAGTACCTTGTCTTGTGTGAGATAACGTTAGAATAGAAGAAAAAAAAAGAAAAAGAACGGAATCGTCGTTAAGACTTTGGAAAAAGATCTCGTATAAAAAGAAATCGAAAAAGTCAACTCTCTTGAGAATGATACGTCTAGAAAAAAGGGTGGAAATAGAAGGGAAGGGTGAGGGGTTGGTAGGAAAGAGAAGAAATACTTGACCGGAAATTCTTCCCGTTAGCTCTTGGACAAAAATTTTTTTTCTATAGGAAAATGGTTATTTACTATCTCTTCTTTCGAATTTGAAATTCGTTTGGTTCTTTCCCCCTCCCATCACC